GTTAAAGTGACACTGGGGTTTTGAACGAATGACTTGTCAGGAAGCTCACTGTTTTGCTGCGCCCAGGTGGTAGGTGTAATTCAATTTCCTTCTGAAAGTTCACAGGAACCTGCTGACAGGCGAGTAAACATGAAAGTTTAGCAGGTCGGTGTGCAGCGGCTGGGAACACTGAAGAGAAGAGGGATGTCTCGAGAGTTTCCTGTGTTACTTAAATGTAATCTTCTCCATTTGTTTTTAAAAAAATCTTTCAGCTCAGCCTTTGAGATTTGGGATCTAAATGTTAACTTCAGGGAATGGTTCCAGATGGTGGACTGATCAGCTCAGCAAGTTTATCCAGTGAGAAACTGAGCCATTCTGACCAGGTGGACCCGGGTTAGATTTCTGCTGAGTATGCTGATTTCAGCTAGGGTGGCAATTAGGGTGTGCACATGGGTTTGGCAGGGAGTCGGCCACAGCTTTTGACCCAGTGAGAAAGGTGTGTATTTAAGGTTCTAGGTTGTGTGTTTAGTTTTGATTGCTACAGTTTGGTTGGATGGAGGGGGGATGCAAATGAGGGGTTGAAAGGGGTCCTGTGTATATTAACCAGCGGTGTGCCCAACCCTTTGTGTACTGTGCCACAGCATTGTTCATTTGTAAGATGGTTTGGGCTGGAGGGGTAATTTATTTAATCTAAAATGCATTTTTTTTTACAAATTATATGTAAATTGTGTAGTACCAGATTAATGATTTGAATTCCAGTATTACTTATTGAAATCTTGCTCTAACTACAGAGAACAGTGCTCCTAATGTGCGTGTAGGGAGCTGGTCAAATGGCTTGCATTAGAGGGACTGTTGCAAACTGATTAATTTTGCCACCCTGTTGTGACTGCTGCTGGCTATTGTTGCTCCTGAATCCTTTCATATGGTTATAGAGTGTTGCACCGCTTTCTCATACACTGTCAGCTGTTGCCTATAAAAACAATTGAATTGGTGCTTTGAAGTACTGTATAATTGTTGGTGTTGTGTCAGTCGTCCTGGCCTGACGTCAGGTTTTCGGTTTCAGGAAAAATAAACCCAATTGCTAAGCGAAGCCCGAAACCAGGAACATTAGCCGCCCAGGGCAGCAATTAGGGTACTGCAAGTGGCCTGACAGGGTGTCAACCACAGCCTTTCAGCCCTGCTTCAGTGTAGTTTTCCAAACCAAGTTTTGTTTCTGAAATGGCTGCTTGCTTTTGCGCACTTGGTCCCTGCTCAACCAGCTTCTAGTTATATCCTGCGGTTTTAATAGCATCTGCCTTAATCAGCTCCTCCAACTGTGTTCTTTACATAAAAACCTTTGAGAACAGGAAAAGACCTATTCGTTCCATTTTTACTAGATCAACTTCAAGTTCTTCCCATATCCTTCAATCCTTCCCGCCCCGAAACCTATTAGTTGCCTCTTTAACCCATTTATAATCTCCCATTCAGAAATTTGCTTTTAACTTCTTCCATTCAAGTACAGTATTTCCTGGGTGAAAAAGCCTGTCTTGCTTCCTTATTTCTTTTTTTCTTCTACCTTCCTGAACTGTTTCAAATGTTCCTTATTCCATCTCTGATTTGACCTATTTTCTCTCTTGCATTCATCACATCCAGGCTAGATTATGCCAACTCTCTACTTGCTGGGCTACCTGCCTCTTCCCTTCACAAGCTGCAGACTATCTAGAACTCTGCAGCTTGTGTCCTTTCCCACACTGGGCTCAGTGAGCCTATCACCCCCAACCTCGCTTGGCTCCCTATCCCTCAGCGGAGTTCAAAATCCTCATCCTAACCTTTAAATCCCTTTGGTCTTGCCACACCGTACCTTTGGACCTCCTCAAACTCTACCAACCTGTCCTCTTCTTCTGCTCAGTGGGCACAGTCCAGCTTCAACATTCCTCGCCTCACCCGCCTCACCATCTACAGTGGGACTTTCAGCCTATTTGTCCCCACTCTCTGGAATTCCACCCTGGCCGGAGTCACCCCATCCCTCATCTCCTTCAAGACCTGTCTCAAGACCTTCCTCTTTGACTGTGCATTTGGCCATCGTTTTTCCTCCCCACCACATCTTGGACTGTTCAAGCGTTTTGTGATGATCTCCCGACATGAAAGGCACTGTATAAATGTAAAGTCGTTTGTATTGTATTTCCCTTCTGAGTTTCCAAGTTCAAAACTGAACACTGGCAGAGCTGTACGTAGGAGGGTCTTGGTTTGAGTTGGGGTTTGCATTACTGCTGGTAACACATGTCTCCATACCATAAAGAACAAAACTTAATGGGGAAAAATTCCTTTTAAAAACAGACTTTTTGTGTGCTTTACATTCTCAAAAGGTTCAGACAATTTTTTTTGTTTTAAAAACTAACCATCCCATTAAAGTCTAGACAAGTGGGGATTTCTACACTATCCCAGTTTCATTGAATAACGTGAGTTGACTTTTACAAAGAAGAGTGATTGAGGTATCTGGTATATCGTACACTGTGTACAGGACAGGTTATCTGGATATTATGTATATTGCGTATAGTTAAAACTGAAGTATCTATGATTTAGTGCAATGTATATAGGTCTAAAGTATCCGGATATTATGTGCTATGCAAAGGATTAAAGTATCTAGGATATAATGTACTGTGTAAAGGACTGAAACATCTAAGAATTTTGTTTTATCAGCCGAGTGTGGAAACTCATCACCATGCTTAAGAGAAGGCAGATGTCCGCCAGATAGCTAATGAGGAAACTCTGAGTCTTGGGGCGACAGCTCCTGGAAGCTGTTAGCTGGAGTCCTAGTTCGTGAACACACTTTTGTACATCCAGTGCCTGGAATCCATCTTGATTAGCTTGCAGAGAGGCAAGCAGCTGCTGCTTAAACTCCGCACCTTCAATTGGTGAAACCATCGCTCAATGGGAAGTGGAAGTGTGCCTGAGATGTGGACAGGAACCTAGTGAGCTCTGAGATCCGTCCAGTGTGAAGGGCACTATATAAATCCAAGTTGTTGTTGTTAGTTGAAATGCTCTCACACATTTCATGCTGAGATATGTTGCCCACCTGGAAGCTTGCAGGGAGGTCCAGAAACCTACCATCCACCTAGTGAGGACTCAAACCCACGATTCTCAGATGTTGAACAGCCAACTGGTGACTGTCCTCTTTTGGGGGGGTGGGAGGGAAGGTAAGCATGGTCTCCTTGGAGCTGAACTGGCAAGGAATGTTGGAATCAAGCCGGCCCTCTTTAGCAGTCTCGGTAGTCTGGTTCCTGGCAGGAGGGTCTGCAGTATTCCAGGGCACTGCTGGTGACAGCTCAGCCAGCCTGGCTCATCGGCAGGACTTGGAATAGCAGCTCCTGTTAACCCTGCAAGCCAAAGCCCTAAGGAGTAGGGTGGTTCTAGCTGGAATAGCAGTGGGAAAGCTTGTCACACAGCAATAACAATGGCCAGCTATGGAATTTTAGCTGGTCAGGCTCCAGCACTACCCCAACACAAGCTCTGGGGTCCCCAAGCCTTGGGCCTTGCCAACTTGCACCGAATATATTCTGGAATTAGATAAGCAGGATGTACATTCCATTCCAACAATCTTCCTCTGGAATTTCCACGTGTTGCATGGAATTCTCAGTTTGGTTTGGATACTCATGAACATAGTGATGGGTTACCGCATATGTCAGACACTCGGATGACCAAAAAAAATCTTAACCAGACTGAGTTCTACATACATATGCCGCCTACACATGGAAAATTTCCCTGTGGCTAGAACGGAATGTGCACTTTCTCTGGGATGCACCCTGCTTACCTCATTAGGAGAGTATTAGGTGCAGGTTGGCATGAGACATCAAGGTCTTAGGGACCCCAGAATGTGCTTTAGGCTATTGCTGCAATTTAACTAGGTAAAACCGCATACCTTGAAATTCAGAGCACTGTCTGGCAAGCTTCCTACTGCTTATCCTAACTGTTTGGGCTTTGGCTGGCAGGTTAACCAGAGCTAAGTGAGAAGAATCCCTGCTCCAGGTGGCTGGTCTGCCTTTCCAAGTCCTGGCTAGTCTGTTATCAATAGTACCCTGGAGCACTGCTGACCTGCCCTGACTCGGGACCGGCAGAGAGTTGACCTAATTCTGACATTCTCGGAGATCCTGCTTACCTCTCCCACCACCAGGAAGATAGATAAATAATGCACTGTATTTAGGAATATAGTATCGAAGTATAGAATTGAAACTATTTGTATTTAATGCATTGTTTTATAAGTAATTCAGAGCTACACAGTACCTGCGATAGGAGTATGACGGGAACTGCAATCTCAGAATTAAATTAGTGAGTGAAGAAACTAAACATAGAAATAAATTATTTGCGAAGTTTGGTGTATCACAGTAATATTTGCAACCTATTAAATGTAGTTAGCAGAATGACCTCTTGTCCTTTCATAGTCCAGAGAGAAGCTTGCCTAAAGATGAAATCTTTGAAAGCCCTCCATCTTCCTGTTAAAATGTATGAAGAATGTTTTTATATTTGTTTGCAAACTCACAATGCTTTGACATAAATCGCCTCGAAGCACTTTATTGTACCACTGAACATGACCTCAATTTAATGAAAGTAGCAGATGGCTCTTCTATTTCTCTACAAAGATTTTTGCTGAACAGTTTCTTGCGATATGCCCTTTATAATCTGCGTAGGTAGTAGGGAGTGGGGCTTCTTATGGGGGGGGGGGGGAGGTTGGTCAAGACTTTTTCCTCCCTTATCCATTTTTCTGGGAGCTGTAGACAAGAAACTACAGATTAATTTTGCCCAGTTTCAACCATAGGGACTGAGTACAGCACTGCTTTATCCTGTGTGCTCCTGTCCTGGTTGGTGGGGGGTGGTATGTGAGGGGGCGTGGAGAATTGCCTTGTTAAACCATCAGCTGAGGGGCCCACAGGAAATGAACTCTCCATCCTCCAGTTAATATTGACCTCCTGGCTTCTGTCCAGACTGAGCTGCAGTTGAATAGCAGAGCTGTACAGTTTTCCTATTTAGTGCTTGCTAGACACTTGCAGTGTACGGCAGCTTGGAGGCGAATGTTATCAGAGAATTGATACTTATTGCAAAGACCAAAAACAAGTTGGTCGAACAGTGAGCATGTCAAGCCATTTGTGCCTTTCAAATTCAACAAAACATGTTTGGATATAGAATTGCACCTCCTCAAAGAAATCACAGTTTTCATTCTCACGAGAAGTTGAGGAATTTTAACTCGATAGACCGTGGCATGGATAAGTCCCAGTTCTGGAGCTGTTCAGTGGGAGAGCCTTTTAAAAGCGTCTGAGAGAGTAAACATAACATAACTCCAGGATGCGTCGCTTCAACAAGCTGAAGAGATCTATTCCGTTCCTGGCACGTTTTCATATTTATAAAGTAAGCTGGTCTTTTCTATTGGGTGGTTGCTGTGGGGGGATTGGGTATTGTGAAGACAGGCAATGTTTGTAGCCGTTGTTAAAAATGTAGAGATGTTTGAAAGTGCCTGCTGCACCCAAAATGCTTTTCCGCCAACAGGCCAGCGTTAAGATACTATTCAGGAATGCCATGCACACATTTGAGATCACTGAATATCGGCACTGACTCAACCAAAGAAAGAAATGTCTGTAACACCGCCTCCTCCCACCCACCTGCGTAGATTCCAGGCTGTTTTCACTGGTCAATGTGGCTTGGGCAATGGAGGTTTCAGAGCAGCATGTGCAAATCCCTTGGCTTGGTGGTGGGGCTTGTGGGCACAATGCTATAAGGAAGCCACTGAAGGCCATAACATTATTTCAATACGTGGGAAGCCCTTCAGAGGGCAAACTTTGAACTGACCTCTGTCTGAAAGAATGTTAGTGATTTTTAATAACCTCTAAGTTTAGTTCAGTCTCACTGCAGAACTGTACATTTTTTGTTTAGAAAATAACACTTGCCTTCATTCTTCACTATCAAATCTCTTATATCTGATTTTTCCTAATAAAGGGACAGTGTGAAATGTAACATTTATACCGACAGCAAATCAAACTCTTTCCTCAATAAAGGGACATATCCTGTTCTAAAAACAGATGTTACCAACTGGAGAGAGCAGTAATCCTAAAGTAGATTCCTAGTAGTGACAGAAAAATTCATCAGTGGTTGATGGATTGTTGCTGATCAATATGCAGAGATTGCCTTGAGGAAAGGTTTCAGCCAATTTCAGACATTTCAATCTGAAAGAACTGGAAACAACTGCAAACATTGGAATTTTGCTCACTTTAGATTTTTGTCACAACTGGGCCTTCCGGGTCATTCAGTGAGGAGATGGTGTTTAGAGAAGCACTTGAGCTGTCTTTATAACTGATTAAGTGACTGTATACAAAGAACTTGGCTTTGTAGATTAATGTGACTTTGCTCAGCCTTTGTCGTTGGCCCTGACAGTGTAAGTGGTTATTTATGCTCTATTAGAGAGGGTCAGTCATCTTCATAGTTTGAAGCACAACAACGTTTGGTGCTGCCTGACCCACATGGAGAGAATTAACAACAACGGAAACAAGGTTGGATTGAAAGGGAAGCAACAATCCCATTTCAGGTTATGCCATTTTCTTTATAATATCCTCACCTGTGAGTGTCACAATGACATAACCTCAGGATTGTGTTGATTTGGGCATGAATTACGTCATTTCTGAGCACCGGAAAAAGAATTGCCTGACCAGTTCCATGGTCATGGCTTCCCTTTGAGGCGGAGGTTATTTTGAACAGACTATATGCAGACTGTTATTTTGATTAGGCTCCAATTGGGTTCCATTTACAGTTGTTTAGTCTATGGCTTGATTCCAGTGCTGCTCCCTCCAGGCACAGGTCTGAATCTAGCATTGTTTATGTGAAAACAATGTTAACAAGGCTCACTCTCCAAAATGATCAGTTGAATAATAACTGGAAGATGCTCGGTGAATCTGAATATTTTTACTTTAACCCCTACCTTGCACACCATACTCCCCCCTTTCCTCCTTTTCTGAAGTCACTAACTTGTGATGTGATGCCATGGGTTCCTCCAGTACTTTACCAGTTAATTGTTCACCTGGATTAATATTGCAGCTGAATCTGATTCTAACGTAGATGCCATTGTGGCTCAATTAGTATCCCTCCCGCTTTTGGATCTGAAGTTTGTGCTCCGTCACTACCAAGCGCTCTGGGATGCTACCCTGCCTGAGGGGTGCTATAATGAATGCAAGTTGTTGTTGTTGTTAGTTCCAGCTGATACTCCAGTGCAGTATTTTAAGGTCCTCCTTTGGTTCGTACATTAAACCAAACGTCTTGTCAGTCTGTTCTGGTGGACATCAAGGATGAGCATTGTATATTTGTTGGATGAATATGTTGCCAAGGAGATGTATTGACAGTTGCATCTGGAATGCATATGGTGTGAGTGCCATCTGAGGGCAGGAAATTAAACGCTTAACACATCAGAAAGGAGCTGAGGTTTTGAGATTGCGTAGAGACAGGTGCAGAGCAGATGGGAGCAGTCCATGATCTGAAAGATTTATTTTATTATCAAAACCTCAGTGAAGTGCCAAGGCCCATAGTGCAAAGCACCAACAAGATTGAAATGAGAAGGCAAGATAAATCTAGTAGGGTAAGAGAAGGCATAGAACAAGAAAAAAAATTAGCCCATCAATCCCACTCCTTTCACCGGTCATGTACTATGTACAGGAGCAGACTGAACCCCATTCCTTTTTATTTTTCCCCATTGGCATTGATGTTTGTTAGTGTTTAAGAGTATATTAGTATTGGTCTGGTTTGTTAACTTGGTTTGTAGGAAAGTATCTCCCTGGAGAGATGTTGAATGGTCCAATGGCTGACGCCTTATGGTGGGCTCCATGTCCTGGCAGCCGTGCTGTCAAGGATTCAGTACTTGTGACTGTCAGCTGCTGTTTGTGCAGAATGTGAGAATGGCAATGTGAAACCTCCTGCATCCTCATAGAGCACATTCATTTGTACAGTGTGAAATGTGCCACATACAGCCCAGGTTCGTGGGCTGCTTTTGCAGAACAGTGACAACACTATGCTTTACTATGTGGGCAAAATGCATCCTTCGTGCTTCAAAGCAGTGTTTAGTGCACGCCCAATGTTTCTTGATCAGCTAATGAAACTTGAAGCCCATTTGGTGGGTTTCTAGGCTAGTGTGTTCCCGCATAATTCTGGACTAAGCAGAATTTTGTTAGCTTCACGTCCGTGTCAAAGGCAGGTATGGTAAAGGAGATCTGTATTTGCAATACACCTTTCATTGAATCAGATCTTTCCTCTGTTACTCCAGAAATTACACAATAAACCTCAATTTAATAAGATGTTGCAAGAGAGATTTGGAAGCCACGTTGACAGACTTACTTGGGAGGAAACTGTAAAACTTTGTCAAGTTCATGTATGTACACTATTGGAGGAAGTTATAAAACTTTTGCACTTTTAATGCAGTTTCTCTTTTCTTTCCCTTATCCCCACCCCCATCAACCTCAGTAAACCTGAACGTTTTTCAGACAGCATTGCATGCAAAGGAAATGTTGAATGGATTGGCCTGTGGCACATGTGAAAGGGTTAATCCTGTACATGTGTAAGTAAATCCATCCCACGTGTGACTTTGCCTCCTGCTCTCTGTGATGAATGGCCAAGAGGAGCCTCCCTGACGAGTACAGAGGAAGTCCGTGCTGAGCAGGAGCAGCAGATGCAGTGCTAAGTCTGTGGCTAAGATGTCAGCTTACCCTGCTCGGGTTACTGTCCCAAGGAGCAGTTAACTTTAAATTGATACTGGACAGCATAACTGAAGGTCAAACACCAAGTTATCACTGTTGTTTCCTCCTACTGTGAACGTCTTCTCTTCAAAAGATGAACACCTGGCTGTTTTGAAAAAGGGCTGACTATACATCATTATTAATCTTCCTTGGGCTCAGCTTACAGGATTCTTGGGGCGTACTTCCAACGTGAAAAGTGCTATAGAAATGTAATTTGTTAATGTTGTTGTTTGTTTCTTTGGGAAGCCAGGGTGAGTTGGGTCAGTGGGTGTGGAGGTAGAGTTAAGCAACCAATCTGATGCAAGAAGCAGTTAGCAATTTCAATGCTATGTAAGCAATTTCTCCTCTTGTACACCTTGATGACTTGCCTCCTTGGCTGCTTCACCCTGTGGTCCAGCTATAGGAGGCAGAATTGAGTGACAAAGACAATCCTGATACCTGAGCTTTTCAGGAATAATGTACTTCTATCGTGGTTGTCAGCTTGGTTGGTAGCACAGTCGCCTCTGAGTCAAAAAGTTGTGGGTTCAAGCAGCACATTGTCAGAGTTGCTGTCCTTTGCATGAAACATTATACCTGGTTTCATCTGCTGATTCGGATGGACGATAAAGAACCAATGGCATTGTTCAAAACACGGATTAAGTTTCCCCGGGTGTCCTGGCCAACAATTCCCCAGATAACAATGGTCATTCACTTCATGGCTATTTGTGAGACATTGCTGTGTGCAAGTTAGTTGCCACATTTTCCTAAAAATACAGTCACTAGACATTGTAGTAAGTGTGTGTGTGTATATATATATATATTTCAGTTGCAAGGATTAATATATTATCACCACTATGTGTCTTTTTGTTATAAATGATGTGCTGATCAAATGAAGATGAGCTCCATTTATGCAGCACATTTGGCTGTCAATTGATGTGTTTTTGGAAGAAATTTGGTGCAGAATAAATTGGTCTCGAGTGTCTAGCCTCTAACTACTTTGGGGAGAGTTACAGAGACTGTGGGTTTGTATCTGCTGCAGTATAAACACAATCAGTGCCAATCCTACTGAGATCAAATACCTTGTTCTCAGGCTATCCTTGGGAGACCTGGGAACACTGAACACACTTGCTTTATTTAGTGCTGTTAAAATGTCAAAGCCATGGAACAATTGTGAGGGACTAGATGGACAGGCCATAGCTCCAATGTTCATGGATCATTTGGATTCAAGCCATGGTCTTAATGGGATTGAGGAAACTGAAACCCTAAAATTGAAGATCTAGTTTGAAGGTTGTTAAATGTCAACTTATTTCATCTGTTCAGCCAGCCAGCGAAGCTCAAAACTCTTCACAAGGTGTGGTGCATTGTAAAGAAAGAGTTGGCCAATTAAAGGACTGCATACAGTAACTGGATCAAAGGACTGTGCTAAACTGTGAATTGAAAAATGAAGTGTTACAATGAAAGGTGGCCAATGAAAAAAAATGAAGATTGGACTCCACGGAGAGGAATGCTCTCCTTCAGTGAAGAGTAATATCCAACAAGCGACTCACAACGTGTCAGGGAAAGCGCGTTACATTCTGATAATTGTTTACTATATTTGTGTCCATTTCATAGGTGCAATTGATGAAAACTCAGACATTGCTACTTTAGCATTTCGCTGCA